ATTTATCGTTTCTCTCAAACGGTTAAGTCTTTCAGAGAGTATGGCTTTGATACCAATTGTTAGAATAAAGGCCCAACGGTAGAGGGGGGGTGAATAGCGTTTAAAACAAAATCGCAGGAAATTAAAACGAGAGCGTTTAAAACAAAATCATAAAAACATTTTATGATTTTGTAAAATAATTTCGACTCTTTGAGAACCGAGACTTGAATTGATTATCGGTTTTGATCACAAAAGACCGACTCGACTAAGTCTTCAATTCTTGATCTGTCCTTGAGTCTTTTAGGTCTTGTTCCAAGCCATTCTTCACGCCTTGAGTTATTCAACGAAACTCTTCATATCCACGGCGGTTTGGCAATTATCAAAACCTGTCAGAAATGAACACGACTTTAGTTTAACGTGCAAAGTGTGTTCCAACACCTTATAGCTTCAAGTCTAGCAACTGGAGCGAAGGTTTCATCAAAATCTATACCTTCTTCTTGACAATATCCTTTTGCAACTAACCGGGCCTTGTTTCTGACAACAACGTCGTTTTCATCCATCTTGTTCCGGAAGACCCACTTTGTCCCAATGACATGTTGATGAGTAGGTCTGGGAACAAGTTTCCAGACATCATTTCTGGAAAACTGGTTGAGTTCTTCTTGCATTGCATTGATCCAATCAAAATCAGGAGCTTCTTCAATATTCTTTGGTTCCACTTGTGAGATGAAACAAACAAGCATAGCTTCTAGATTCTGTTGGGCACTCCTTGTGCGAACACCAGATTGAATATCTCCAATGATCTGTTGAGGAGGATGATCCCATAACCAACGAAGATTGTGTTGATTGGGATTGACTGGTTGATCTAGTTCAGCTTCTGGTTGAAGAACAGAAGTTGTTGGTGTTTCCAGATGGATTGGCACTGGGTCGCCATTTCCGGAATTGTCGCCGTTTGAGATATCCGGAATATTGGAAGGCTGGCCAAGATTTGCGGAAGGCTCAGCACTGTCTGAATCCAGATTTCTCTGTGAAATCTTCAGAGGCAGACTTCTGAATGGAATGAATTCCGTGGGCTTCATTCTATCTCCTTTATTGACTTCTTCATCCTTGTCTGATAGATCCAGAACCTCATGGTCATGCTTTGATGGCTTGTTATCCACATGTTTTTCGTCAAAAATAACATGTATTGACTCTTCCGTAATCATGGTTCTTTTGTTGAAGACTCTGAATGCCTTGCTTGCCATGGAATATCCTAGGAAGATGGCCTCATCTGATTTCTCATCAAAAGTGTTCAGATGATTCTTCCCGTTGTTTAACACAAAGCACTTGCTCCCAAAAATATGGAAATATGATATATTAGGCTTTCTCCCGTTCTACAGTTCATAGGGAGTTTTGTTGTGCCTTTAATAAATCATACTCCTATTTTGAGTGTAGCAGGCTGTGTTAACTGCTTCAGCCCAGAACCTCTTTGGTAGGGAAGCTACTGCTAGCATGGTTCTCACTGCTTCCTTCAGGGTTCTGTTCCTTCTTTCAGCTACACCATTCTGTTGAGGTGTCCTTGCTGTAGATGTCTGATGAAGAATTCCGTTTTCTTCACAGTAGTGAATGATGATTTCATTCAGGAATTCTGTGCCTTTGTCAGATCTGATCTTCTGAATGGTCTGACTTGCTTGGTTTTGAATCAGCTTCATGCAGTTGGTGAGTTTCCCTTGAGTCTCCTTCTTGCTGTTGAGGTAGATTGTCCACGTGTATCTTGAGTAATCATCAACTACCACCAGGACATATTTCTTTCCACTTAGACTTATTGGTGTAACAGGGCCAAATAAGTCCATGTGAATAAGACTTAATATCCTTGTAGTTGAGGGTGCCGATTTTGCCTTGAAGGTGGACTTGACTTGCTTTCCTTTTTGGCAAGCATCACAAATACTTTCCTTTCTGAATGCAGCTTTGGGAAGACCTTCTACTAACTCTTCTTTGGACAGCTTGTTGAGGGTTTTGAAGTTGAGATGACTCAACCTCTTATGCCAAAGCCATAGAAGGTTAGTGTCACCTTTGCTGATTAGACATGCTTCCTTGACATCGCTCCA